TAAACCGGTTCAGACATATCCAATCATTTTAGAAATTCTCCTGGTTGAAAAAAATGCCCTGGCCAAACGATCACCAAAAATTCCAGAATTAATTTTTAAGTGATTTTGAGTCACTTACCAGTGTTATTTCATGATGGGGAGCAGTGGAGGGATGATTTTATGAACATCTGAAACTTCATTTTCTTTACATTTCTCCATGACAACACTGACGACAAATCCGAGGATACCAATCGACTATTCTCAACATCAGGAACATCATGGTATCAACGGTGTAGCAAACAGAGGTTTGATTGATGAATAACTATGGTGAACCTTCTTGGACAAAAGTTACTAAAAAGGGAAACTTAGAAGAGAGAGAAAGCTATGGAGTAAGGGGTTCCTAAAAATGAAAAAATCCAAGTTTGGATAGCTTTTAAGGTCAACACAAAAAAGGGAAAATTATTTCATAGGTCCCTAAACTTTTGTTGTATTCAAAATTTGGATATGAATTTAATTAAAAATTCATTTTGGTCCCCAAATTTAACTAAAATTTCAATTTAATCCTTAGAATAAGTTTAAGAAAAAATTAGCCCCTAAATTGAGGTGTGACATTTCCAATTACAACTTAGCTAAAAAATGAAAGCAGGGCAAGGGATGGAACAAATAAATAAACGCATAATGAAGCATCAAACCGTATCAAAAATCAATTTGCATGTGCATAGAAGAGGTGTTGTACTAAGCCGCAACTCTAATTTGAGGTACTATTTAAGCATATTAAAAACACAATAATTTTTTCCAGTTTGTACACTAACAACTCTAACTAGTTACAAACAAGAATTACATCTCATAATTTTACTTGGATATTGTTTTAAGCATTTTAAAAACACACAAGAATTTCTCCTATCTCTTTTTCTTTTCCAAAAATATTCCAACACAAAGCAAAAACTCAAAATAAATATGTGAGAAAGTTGTTTACCTCCTCATTGAGTCCATTCTTAATTCGTTCTCCTCTACCTTCACCTTGTTCCAACTTCCAAGTCTCTACTCTATTATGCCCTTCTTTTCCAAGGCGAAAAACAAACGAGGAGGAGAAGCACAAATACTAAAATTATTGAGCACCCCGACAGTCAAAACTAGGTTTTATTTTTTTTAAATTTTTTGATGTAAAATGCCAAAATTACCCCTAGGGATACATGTAATAGTCACATGCCATCCCCGAAATGTCCCTAAGTAAGCATTTGCCATCCCCGAGTTTGTTCAATCGTAATCCACAACTGTGGCACATCTCCGGTATATACCCTAGTCGTCCCTGTGCCATCCCCATGTCGGGAACGTATTAGGTACTTAAAACGCTCTTCTTTTTCCATCCCCATGCTTTATAAGTTTTCACTAATTAGTTCTTTTGGTTCTCTGCATATTGCAAAGTTTCAAGATGACAACACAACTGAATCAAAATAAGCATCTTTACTTTTTGGGTAAACTACACATTTACTACTACGGGTCAGTTTGGCAGGACTTATGAAACGTAACTTTTAAAAGTGTGGTAGAAAAGAAATTTTAAAAGTGTTATTTAAGAGTGCATTTTAAAATTTAATTGTTTGAGATTGTTGTTAAAAAGTCAGTTTGAAAATATAAAATGTCCATTATATACATTATGTTGTAAATTAAAAATATATAATTTAAATTATATTTATATACTTATTAATACTATGATATATAAAATATATCAACTTAAACTATAATAAAAAATATTTTAATATAACTCATTAATAATTTTTTTATAAATGAAATATTTTATTAAGAAAAAATATATTATCAATACTTTTTAACATGTGGATATAAAAGTTTTATGAAATAATAATTTAAATATTTGTTTAGACAAAAATAATATTATAAAAAATACATTAGTACTTGTAAATTAAAGTGAATTTTAATATACCATAAAATGTATTTACTTTTAATTAATTAAAATAAATTATTAAGTAATAAACTATTTTTTAAGGATGTTAATAATAAATTATTAAATTAAAATGTAAATACATAATTGAGTGGAGCTTATGCATTAGTAAGGGTAAAACTATAATTTGCTTCCAAATGCAAAGTTGAAAATGAAAAAGCTACAAATCCTAACTTTTACGGTTAGTTTGAAACCACCGTTTCCAACATAATATTTTTTATTTCTTACCCATTTGCCATTAATTTTGCCGTCAAACAGACATTTTAGCTAAAAAGTGTGTTTAGAAATCCACACAAAACAGGGCATACAACTATCACTTTTGTTTAGTTTTGGTCACTTAATTATTTTTTCAAAGGTATAATGCTAAAGTTAGTCCCCAATGTTTCATTTTGGGGAAAAATGCCTCTTTATGGATGAAAAATGTTAGTTAACAAACAATTAATTCTCTAAAATAAGGGCCTTTTACTTTAAAACAAAACGTTGAGGGCTAAAATACTGTAAAAAAAGAATAAATGTTAAAGTGACTATTCAAACAAATGTTACTTTGAGCCCTAAAATGAAACATTGGTGGCCAAAATGTTAAGAAAAGGGATTGCAATCAAAATGATCATTTTGAAAAATGTTGGGGGACTAATTTTGGAATTATATATTTTTTCAAAAATATACCTAACATTTAGTTTTAGTTTCATTTTGGTCTGTCGTCGTTAAAAAATTAACGACGATGTTGATGTGTCACCATAAGATAATGTCTCGTAATCATTGAAAATTTAAAAAATACCATGTTGTCAATTTTATTAATTTTTTAATGGTGTGTGACCAAAATAAAATTAAAATATAATGTTAAATATGATTTTGAGAGAGAAAATAATAAGTGATCAAAGCTTAATAAAAATGATAACTAATATATTAAACATATAATTGACCCTTGTTCTTTTTATGAAAGGACTGTACAAATTGTGTTGGCGAAAGCATCCATGGTAGATGATCTCCAAAACAAAAACCACGAAGTTAACGTGGTTGTTATTGACTACGAGTGAGAGGTTCACATCAGTTATGACATTAGATTTGTAATGGTGAGTGGCTACAATAAAACTACTTAAATCGTTTTATGATTATATTGTCAAAATTGAATGTATGATGGTCATATCTACATCAATACTATAATTAAGTGGCAATTTGAGTAGTTTACCCAATAAAATTGTACCTATATATTTCATGAAAAATCTAAGTGAATATACTATAAAAATAGCCAAAATAATAATAATGCTCATTTGTTTGAGGGTTTTCATTGCATTTTATCTAAGGGTGTTTGTTGAGCGAACTGATTATGAGTTGAGTATTGTTCGATTTGATTCGAAAATTATTTGACTCATGTTCAACTCGATTTGATACTCGATAAGCTATATAAAATAAGATAAATAATACATAATCAATCTTTAAAATAAAATAAATAACATCCTAAAAATTAATAAACTACTCACGAACTTATTGAATCGAGTTGGATCTTGCTCGACTCAACTCGTTAAGATTTTGAATTGAATTTAAATTTGAGTTAAACTAATCTGATTCAAACATTAATTAAATTTGAACTAAATCGAATTCGAGTCGTTAAATCAATTAACACCCTTAAATTTATCTTGATATATATATATTAGTGTAATGAATATGCCATGTGACTATAAGAGATAGCAAAGCAAAAAAGTAGCTTGTGAAAGACCATTCTTGGTCAATCATATAACATCATGTGTGTATTAACTTATTATTTATAAATTAAATCAAATCAGATCTATTAAAATTTTCAATTCATTAACAGTTGGATATTATGACTTAATCAACAGTCTCTGTTGCGTCACATTGATTAACGCTGTGATTTTACATAGCTATTCGATGATGCACAAGCCTCTAAGTATCTTGCATCAATTGAACTCTTGATCAATTTTAATTTTTTTAGATGTCACGTGACTTACCATAGTTATGCCATATGAAACATACAAGCCTCCAAGTCTCTTGCATTATATAGATAATTTTTTTTGATAAGTTCACACCACCTATTAAAATAAAATTTAAGTTATGATAATTAGATCTATTTGATTTGTTGATCTATCAATAGTTATAATAACCCTATGATTATCCCAACCAGTTAAAAACATTATAAATACCCATCAATATAATCGTAAAAAGGACTAAAACCTTATGTAATCTAGACATCATCTTCTCTTTTGCTCCGATGATCAACTCTCATCCCAACAAAAACACAAATTAACAATCATTCTTTAATTGATCACGCTTCTTTTTTCAAATGAAAAAAATAAATTATCAATAATAGATAAAATTAATTTTTTCGTATCAACACAGATTTATTTATTAATGTGCACAAACAAATTCTTTTGACAACAATACTGCCTAATACAGTTGGCAGAAGCGAATCAAACGGGAACATAGTGAAGTTAATCCTGGAGCGCAAGCACATTATTCTGGAAAAAAAATACACAGCATAAATTCATAATACTTGTTATGAACTTATAATCTAATTTTCTTTGAAGAAATGAAAACATAGTTTTGTAGTCATGTGCATTATTTTACTACCCATAAAGGAATTTGAATGGTAGCTTCTACCCGAAACAAGCCAACAGGTCACGGAAATCAAAGCTGCTGGAAATGGATCGGATCCGATCAGTTCACTCAACCAAATTATTAAAATTAGAAATGACCCACCAGCTTAATTAAATTAAACTAACCACTAAAAAGTTACGATTCCCTTCATGTCACATTCTGTTTAAAAGTCAGTTTTGCCCTTGTCTTTTTGCAGTTATCGATGAAGCAAGCAAGACTGGAAAGGAAATGTATGGTGTTATGTGTGTCAATTTATAAACTCGTTTTTCTTTTCAGAATTTTGATTATCATATATTATGTGTTAATGTATCTGTAATGCTAATTCAGAATTTTTAAGTTTGCCTCTAAGGCTTCACCTTTGGTTCAATAATTTGTGTTGTTTTTACATGTCAAAGAACTGGCCTTTTTGCTCTATATCTCCTAAATCTTTGTTTTTTTTTTTTTCATTCTTGTTTAGTGTCTCCCCCAGAATCTCTGAAATCTAAAGTACGTTCTTTTAATCTGTTTGATGCAAGATTTGAAGTGGGTATTTGAAGAAACCGCCATTGGTGCTCAAATGAAGCTTCTTTGACAGTAGCTTGAGGTGATCCGGTGCAATGCAGCTTTATAAATCTGCAATGGGAAAGAAGTTTGCTTCAGTGCTTCTTTTCTCTCTTGTTACAGTGATTTTCTGTACCACTGACCCGGGTGACCTTTATGTTCTAATGCAATTCAGAGATGGACTTGAGAATCCTGACCTCTTGGAGTGGCCTGAAAATGGCGGTGACCCTTGTGGTCCTCCGAGCTGGAGCCATGTATTCTGTGATGAAGAGTCCCGGGTCACTCAGAATGAAGCTCAAGGTGTGGGCTTGAAGGGTACTTTGCCCCAAAACTTGAACAAGCTCTCCATGCTCAAGAACATAGGTCTCCAAAGAAACCAGTTGAGTGGAAAGCTGCCATCTTTCGATGGCTTGTCGAATTTGCAGTATGCTTATTTGGATTACAACATTTTTGATTCAATCCCGACTGATTTCTTTGATGGTTTAGATGATTTGCAAGTGTTGGCATTGGATCACAACAATTTTAATGCCACAAGTGGCTGGTCATTCCCCAAGGCTTTACAAAACTCGGCTCAATTGACTAACCTTTCTTGTATGAACTGTAATTTGATTGGTTCATTGCCAGATTTTCTTGGTTCCATGCCTTCCTTGACAAACTTGAAGCTTTCTGGTAATAGTTTGTCTGGTGAAATCCCGAGGACCTTCAATGGCAGTGCTGTGCAGATGCTTTGGTTGAATGGGAATCAATTCACACTTCTCTACAATTGGATTGTTGCTCAATAAGGGCGATTGTTATCTGATCTCCCTGCTCTAAAGGTGTTTTATGTGAGTAGGGACGCTAATAGAGTTGCTCATGCTTTGGCTAAATGGGCCTTATCGAACCACAATCCAGTTAATTTTTTCCTGAATAAACCTGATTGTATTAAACAACTTGTAATCGAGGATGCTATTGGAATATAAGCAATATTTATTTCAAAAAAAAAAAGATGTAATTTATCATAATACTATCTGAAAATACCACTGCAGGATTCTTTACTTTGCTGTAAGGTTGAAACCCTATGCATAATAATAGACAGATAAAATTCATATGATTTTGCAACAAATGATATCAACTTCTTAAGGCATTGCTTGGGTTGAATTCTACAATATCAAACATCTACTGAGTAATTGAGTAAGAACCTAGTCCGGTCAACAGCAGATGCACCAGCCTGCTCGGCAAGCTGTGGTTTCTAAGCATAAGCCACAACAGCGCCGTCAGGGCACACTAATGGCATATGCAAACCCCAACAATTTTACTCCCCGACTCATTCAAGACTCCAGCCATATTCCTCCAGCTGCTTTCCTAACGGGAAAAATAAAATAAAATCAAATACCACATCAATTCTAATATTAGACGAGTTTTCCAATTCTTTCTTTTCTGTTTACCAACAGTGAGGAGGTCTTGGAGGTGTTGCCGCATGGACAAAAAAATGTTAAGCCCGACTTTTATTATTGATTATTTCATTGACCCGACTCACCACGTTATCTATGGTTTTAATGAATGATAGTTACGAATTTTAAAATAATTTCCAAATAACCACGTACTTTTTATTTATGCATAAGAAAAATATGAAGATTCACATTGGAAACAAATTATATGGACAAATACTATTGGTTGAGACCACAAATGACCGGCTGATCCGAGACCATTTAATAATTTCTCCCTATTGGGCTCACGCAGTGACGTGGAATTGATAGAATTTAGGGCTCATGCAGTGACGTTGAACTGATAGAATTTAGGGGTTAACTTATTTTTTTTAAATAGAGGTTTAAATTAAAATTTTCAATTTTTTTGAAGGGATCAATTTACATTTAAAAAAAATTGTGTTCTAACTAAATTTTTTAAAATTTTGAGACTTCATGAGAATCAAAATTTTTAAAAATTATGGGAGGGTTTAATTAATAACATTAAAAAAATTAAAACTTAATCTAAATTTTTATAAATTTTATGGGGTCAAATTAAAATTTTCTAAAATTTCAAAGGTCTAAATTATAATTTTTCAATATTTGGGAGGCCTTGGCCCCTACATGTCTTTATTGTGATATGTCTCTTGTCTAGTGATGCTTGTCGATTGTGATTTGGTTAGTATTGAATTTGTGTTCATTAAAAATATTTGTTGCTCAACTCGATTCGTTGTTCATTAAGCTCACTAAAATTTTGTTCCGTTAAAAAATTTGTTGCTCGATTTGATTCGTTGCTTTTAAGCTCGTTAAGATTGTTACTCGTTGCTCATTAAGTTCACCAGAATTTTTACTTTTTCTTAACAATAGGTAATATTTATTAACATACTATATAGAGCTTAATATAAATATAATTTAATAAATTTAACAAAAATTTTATCAAAAGAGTGTATGAAGTAATTTTAAAATCTAAATTCTAAAGTAATAATACATATATATTAAACTAATAATTAAGATTTAATTTTTGGATGTAACAAAATAATAATTATCTATTATTAAATTAATAATTTTTTTGCATAAAATAATTTTTTAAGATAAATACTAAAAAATTATAAAGAGCTTAACGAGCTGCTCTCGAGTTTATCGAGTCGAGTTGAACTTTGCTCGACTCAACTTGTTAAGATCTTAAATCAAACTCGAGTTTAATTCGAACTTTGATCAAGTTTTGACCAATTCAATTTCGAGTTGCTCAACTCATTAAGTAAACTTAACTTAGACTCACGAAAATTAATGATCGAGCGACTAAAACATAATAAATTGATAGCATAAGTGACTAAATTGTAACGTTGTAAAACCTATAAGCGAAATCAGATGTGCTTAAAACAAGAGGGATCACAGTGTTGTTTACCCCTAATATTTGATATCTATTCCATGCATCGACCTTCTATATCTCTCTCCAACTCTAAGCAGAGAAACAGTAACGTCATTTTGAAAAAACAAATTGCCCCCCCTCCTTGTGTACGCTTAGTTTCCAGTTCCACCCCCCAAAACCCGGAAAATAAAAACAGAATCTCTCTTTACGACTTCCCTTTTGTCCCAAAACCCGAAACAATGGCGAATGAGTTCCTTAACTTTCCTCCAAATTTGGATGATGGTGAACTTTGGCTCCCTTCTGATATTTTCCTCAACGAAGTTCCTTCCAAAATCAAGCCCCGCCTTCACCACCATAATTCCCCTTATCTCCCTTCCTCTTGCGTGGAAGACTTAGCTTCTCGTCTTGCCGCTCTTAAACTTCCTAAGCATCACCAAAAACTACCCAAAGCTATCAACTTTGAGGTTCTTTTCTAAAGCCTTTACATTTTCTCTTGCAAGCATCTCTTTTTTCCTCTTGTTTTCTTGCTTTCTTACACCCACTTTGCAGAGGCTTCAAGAACCGGTTTGTTACGGTACGGTTAATAGGAGTGGTTTGGAAGCGGGTCGAAGCTTTTTCGGTTTAAGAAACGGTCCGTTTCTTGGAGAGACCAAACCGGATTATGAATGTCAGTTCGTGAAACCAACTCAAGCTCAGGTACTTATGTTTTGGGTTTGATTCCATGAACAGTCTTTTCACATTTCAGTGTTCTTTACCTTTTTTATTATTTTTCTTTCTTTTTGCAGTATTGATGGTATGATATTATTTATTTTTGTAGGTTGAGAGCTACGTTGAAGCCAGGGCTAGGGTTCTGCAAAGGCAACAAAACCGGCTTTTTCAAAACCGGGATTTGCCATTTCAAGCAAAAGGTTTTAATAATAATAAGTTCGGGTTAGGTGGTGGTTTGGTGAGAGCATCGGGAGGCACCGGAGTTTTTCATCCTCGCGTTCTTAACACTACTTTTGATTCCGAAAAGAAACAAGGTAAAGTTTCTTTCTTTTTTTGATACGTTCTGTTTAGAAAAATTATATTTTTGGGTATTGAAGATGAACTGCTTTGTTTTTAAACTTTTTGTGTTTGGGTTCTGAGTTTTAGCATTGAAGCATGTGGTTTTCTTCTGCAGTTTGTTGCACTGCTGGTGTAATGTTTGTTCATTGTTGTTTCACATTTTGCAGTGAAACACTTTTATGAGAAAAATTTCAGCATGAAAGAATACAACTAAATATTGTCTTTGTATCTGTTACAATTATACTGGTTTGGCGAATTATTAGGTTATTAATAACGAAGGTAAAGATGGATGAAATTCCATTTAATGCAAGATTTATTGTAACTTGGACTTTGGCTTGTGAGTGTTGAATACGGTATGTGGCGTAACTTGGACTTCGGCTAGTGAGTGTTGAATAAAGTACGTGTCATGCTTATGTTCTATTTTTGCTAAGGGTTCGGAAGGATAGGTTTGTATAATCTTCTTCTTGCTTGCTTGGTGTGCCTGCAAAGGGAAAGTTTTCTTTTTCTATAACATTTCTAGCGGCCACTATATTTTGGATATTGCTTCACTTACACGTGGTAGATCAACTATGCAGAGTTGCTGTAATCTCTTGATTCTTTATGGCTCTCCTCTATACATGCTTATTATACGTATATGTGTATGTAATGCTATGACAGGTCTGAGAAATAGGCAATCATAAGAGATTCAAGTTAGCCGAGAGATGAAGGCCATGAAAGGGGTAGGTCTTGTGAAGCAAGAGGGTTGCTATTGTCATCTTCCACCAGTGATGTGGTTTCCTAGGGACTGGATTTAGTCACCTTCAATCAGCTTCCATTTTGTGTGCATGTGATTTGCCATGAAAAGATATGATAAATGACTGAATAAGACATATTTGCGGTAGAATGAAGTAGATAGAAGGTGAAATAAACTTGGGGTTTCATGCAAATCTTGTATAAGAGACGAGATGCTTTTGTAGTTAGTATTGGTATAATAGTGTCCTTGATTTAGCTTTTGTAGAGATAGATATGAATAATGCTTTTGAAAGGCATTCATGGTGAGGAATTGGCTGTTTTGCCATCCTTTTGTATTATGTTTGATGTAGCAATGCAGAATATTTAAGGCTCCTTTGAATTCAAAGCACTTTTGCTTTTTATGCTTTCTTGGGTTTCCCATTGTTGATGAAAAGACAGCAGTGAGCATTTACGGCTCCCTATTCAGACAGAGCACACTATGAGGGTGTACTATTTATTACTGAAAATATATCAGATAAAAAAGCCAAAACTTGTATTTTAAATACGAGTTATGATATTGTATATCATTGTTTTTTATTTTGGTCTGCACCTTTTCTTTTGTTTTACACAGCTTGCACCTTTTCTTTTTATACATTTGAGTGATGTCTATTTGCTGCTTTTTTTTTTTATCGAAATATGACTCGTACATTTAATAATTACTTGTCAGACATATTATCTCTTAATACTATTAATCTAGTATTATTTTTGATAAAGTGAGGATCGTCATTCGTGTTTTTGATGATTCTGTCCGAGTTAACGTCACATAAAAAAAGACATAAATAGTGATCCATGTCTTATTTAATTTTGTCTGAGCTGGCGCACCGCTCAAATACCCCCTTCCCACATCTATGAAACCCGTCTACTCCTATTCTCTTCCTATAAATATCGTACCTAAATACAACATTCAAACCACACTTAAATATCAAATTCTCTCATTCTTTCGAGTATTAATCTTTTTATTAAGAAGTTAAAATATTTTTATTGTATTATAATGAATCATTACTTTATTATTCCATTAAATTTTATTATACTAATTCTTTTTATTAATTTTGTAATTATAAAATGAAAGATGGTTTATTACGTTTAGATGAGAATCATACCTCGAGACATTTTGCCAATACAATAATAATTTTAAATTCTGTATATTAGATCCATTCAATCGTAACCTTAAGTTAGAGATATCTACTCGTGTATGGCCGTATTTGGTCGAGGCTAGATTCGATTACGTAGCAAAATATGAAGGACACTGTAACCTTGAATCCAACCTTATTTCTGCATTGGTTGAGAGATGGAGACCAGAGACACACATTCCATCTTTTGTGTGGATAGTGTCAACACACATTTTCATCCGTGTACAACACTCTCAACAACCCCAATTTAGTAGAATTTAGAAAACAAACATAACGTTAGAGTTTTACTAGGATTCAAACTCCTAAAAATAGGATCCATAAGCATTATAAATAGCCATTGTAACTCACTATTGTAACACACAATTGATAGACGAAATACGAACAGAAAATTGGAGCAATCAAAGTATTTTTTTGGCAAAGTTTCGAAGGCAACAAAGGTAAAAAAACCTTACCTTTTTTGGTTGTTAGGCTTGCATGTGTCGTTTGTTTCTTGCTTTCGATTTGTAAAACCACAAAAACTCAAAAGGCCGATGACTGGAGGGTTTTTTTTGAAACTAACTTTTTAGATCTACGGAACCCCGAGGTTATTTTGTGAAAATCGTTCGGACATTTGGAAAGAGGAGGGGAAGAACTTTAAAAAATTCAATTTTTTTATATTTTATTTTTTTCTTAATATTATTATTATATATACTTCATTATTATTATTATTATTATATTTTATATGTTTTATTTTGTTTTATTTTTTTAATTTATTATTATTTTTAAAACATTTTATTTATATGCATATTCATTATTTTTTTATCTTATTTTATTTCATTTCCCTACCATTATTATTTTTTCTCTCTATTATTTATCTATATGTATTATTATTATATATATATACATTTTTTCCATTTATTTTTTATTTTTTTGCAAATATTATATTTATTATTACATATATACATATATTTTATTTATTATTCTTATACCCTTCTATTTTTATTTTCTTTTATTACTCTTTACTTACTGTTTTTATTATTATTATTATTATTATCATTATTCTATTTTATTTATTTCTATTTACCCATTTTTCCTCTATTTCATTTTTATTTTTATTCCTTATCTTTATTTTTTTATCTTCTTTACATTTGTTTTATTTATTTGTATTTTCTTTTTTTATTTACTCATTTATTATGTATATATTATTATCATTATTATTCTTTTTTCTTCATTTTATTTTTCTTATTGTATTCATTTTTATCTTCACTCTTTTTTTATTCCTTTATTTCGGTCATTTTTTTATTTTTTTATTTTTTTATTCTATTTATTTTTATTTTTTTATCTAACACGTTTCTTGACTCTCTTAAGGGTACACCTTTAAAACTATCTAAGGTAAGTAATTGTGATCATATTTTTACCTTTTAATTTTAAACTACAATTTTCTTAATTTAAGACAATTGGAAATTGAGTAGTACCGAAAGAGCAGCTCAAGGGTGCTAACCCTTCCTTGACTGTAACCGATTCCTGAATCCGACACATCTTTGGAAAGAAGCAAATCAAGTAAGAAATAGGGTATCCGATCAACCCATTTGTTTTAAAATAAATGATCAGTGGCGACTCCAATTCGTTTAATCCAAGTCGAAGCCCAATTTCAAGGCCCACACGAAAGACGGTTCCGATAGCTTGGCGACTCCGCTAGGGAACAGTAAGTGAGTCAGGCTAAGGTAATTTCCAGTTGTCTTTTTAACGAAAAGGGTAAGTTTAAATTTTAAGGTAGCATTTCGATCCTTATTGCTTACTTTTGATTATATTTTCGAGTAAATAGTTGTACTAACCATTTTATAATGATTTCAGCCTTCAAAGTTTGTTTCTCACTTAAGGCTCTAAACTCGAGTTCTAAACCCTATTTAAGTGGGGGTGAAAGCGACGCATTCGTGTGATTTTATTCACCACACATGCCTAACAAGTAGCATTCGGGATTCATATACCTTATGTCTTCGTGTGAATTTATTCACCGTGCGGGCATAAGGGAATGTTTCCTCTCGAGTTTAACTTAGTGCACACAAGCTTGTAATGGGCTTAGGACTAGGGGTCTGGCAAGCCCAAGGGGGCACCAGCAAGGAGAACTCGGGTACCTTTTTAGAACCTAAACCAGGAGATTACAAGGAATTAGAGATCACCCCAAAACCTCATTCTAGACTCTAGGCTTCTTTGATTTTATTTCTTGTTTTACTTTCTGTTCAAAGCATGCGAACTAGACAAATATGCGGTTAGGATTTGTTTGAAATTAGCATGCATGATAGAGATCATGTCCGGGTAGGAATAATAAGCATGTGGGGTAGGATTTTTCATTTTTATTATTGTTTTGATTTACCTCACTAACTCTTTTTTATTTTTGTTATCTTTTATTTTAATTTTCATCATTTGTATCATTAAAAAAAGAGGTGTTGATAAAAAACGTGTTCGTTAACTGTAAATAATTCGCATTAATGAACAAAGGGGTTGTAATACAAGAGGTGAAAAACGCAGGAGTCCGACTATGGTCAGAAAAGACTCAGAAAGAAAAGAAGGACAATCTGCAAGGCAACTATGTGTCACATTCGATCAAGAAGACGTGGTGCCCACAATCAAATACATCACAAGTTAAATTTTCAAAAATAGGTTGATAAAGGTGGCAGGGGTAACACGAGAAAAAGGTTACTGACCTCGAGAGTCCCTTCAAAGACAACAAGAACAAGCTGACAAAACGATAGCTGAATTGGAAGCCATTGTCGATAAATTCAAGAAACAATCGAATGAACTTCAGATAATCCCTTTGATGGAGGATTTCAATGGCGTTTTCGTTATAGAACAGGTTCAACAAAGGATGAAAGCTAGAGATGCAGTCATTCGATACTTCTGGGAACTGGTTTAAAAGATTTAGTCAGGATATACCTTTAAATATGTTTATTGTCTCTTAAAAGATAAAACACTTTTGTCCCAATAAGGATTATTTATAATAACATACATGTTTTCGAATCAATGCCTCAAACATTTCATGCATTTTTGCATTTTACATCTACATTTCATTTTTAAGTATTTTCATAAACATGAAATTTCTTCGTGGAGGATTCGATGAAGTGTTCTTAACCACGTCACACCACATGAAAACAATATTTTAATAATTAAAAGAAAAATTGAAATCAGTACTGTGGGAGCCTGATCAGCTGATTATAGGACTAAGCCTGCTAGGATGATATGAGAAAATAGTCCACATATCCTAAGGGCTACAATGTTGAAGTTGTTTGCAATTACCACATAGGAAGCTTCAGTTATTCATCTAAGAACTGTGAGTGCAAGATCCAAAACCCGATGGATTCAGGGGCATGGACAGTTGAAGAAGGGGGCATGACATTTACCATTTGCATTGAGAGCATTGTTTTGTTTGAACACGCTTTTTCATGTTTGTTTAATCTTTTAAACGATTGAATTTATGCTACCTTTTAAGGTGGAATAATTGAACAAATTTTAATATTTAGTTCTTCGAATATTAAATGAATTAAGGATTCTTTTAATTCTTCAAGAATTATAGATTTTTGACATATGACAAGATTAGACCTTTCTTATCCTGTCTCAAATCCCAAAATAAAATACCTTGATTCTTTACCCAAAATAACTCATGGTCATTACCAAAAGACCAAATTTTGACATTATCACCCTTTGAAACTTTTGAACCTTTCTTTGAGTAAATAAAGTCACACCATTTTCTTTTTAGACTCAAAATTGACCTTTTTATACCATTAAAACCCAAGGCATTGAGTTGTTTTTTTGAACATGAGCATTCTTCTAAGACACAACTTGGGGCATCTCGCAGAGAGCCTGAACATTGAGACATGTCGGGAGCAAGAAGCAGAAAGAAGAATTCATTTGAAATAATTCTATCATACATTAATTACATTATTTTCATGTGAATAAAATTAATCCTGAAAATCTATCCCCTTAGGGATACCTCTTCCGTGAAGACTTCCATATATGAAATGATGAACGACTTTCTTTCTTCATCTCTTCACAACAGGAGAAAATATATATCCCTTGTGTCCCCTTTTGAGCCTATAGTGTTTTTCTTCTGATTCAACCCTAACCAAGGATCACCCTCCACATTAGGGGGCAAGGTGGAAAAAAGTAACTCACATGAGTGAAGACATCAATCCAAAGGAGATACCAAATGCCAAGTGCGAAGAT